AACCATCCTGTCGGGATTCAGAAAGGCCGGAATAATTCGAACTGGAACTGATGCTGAGTCTGACAACAGCAACACAGAAGAGGAAGCGGCGCTCTGTTTACCTCCGGAGGTCACAGAGTTGTTCAGAAGTGACACCGAGGATGAAGAATTGAATGGATTTAGTGATTTGGAGTGAGGTGGAGAGTTTGGTAAACTTGTTTTGTTCTGTTGTTTATGCTGTACTGCCCTACAAAGACCTTAACTCACCAGAGTGTGAAACTGAGAAAAATAACTGTGGCACTGTTCTGTCGTGGTTTCTCGTGTGGTTTTGGATGTCACAGTTGTCATAACCGTTTATTTCTGATTAAATAAATCAAATTGGCTCATTATATTTATTGACATGATAAAGGAGGTCTCAAAATGACTAACTCATTTTTGACCAAACATGTTACGGCGTTCTGTCTCTGTAGGGCATTATAGTTATCTGAAGAACTGTTCATATGTGACATTAACAGCCTGTTGTTCTCTCTTCTATTGTTTTTACTATAATTTGCCTTTCGAGATTAAATGTCAGTCTCTGGTCTCTGATTTTATAAAGTAAATTTCCCCCCAAAAGTGCGACTTATATATGTTTTTTTCTTCTTCATTCCGCATTTTCTGGCTGGTGTGACTTATACTCCGAAAAATACGGTACACAAAATGGACTCTTGTGAGCTTTAAGCCAGGTTATAATGCTATTACTTCCTCAAAAACAGACCTGGAGTTGTGTTTTGTTTGAGTAATCTCATATTTTTAATCTGTCTTCGACTCCAAAAGCTCAAAATGCTCTGTTCCACCTTGTGATGTAGTGGCAGTTTCAAGTTAACATTGACACTGACCTCTAACTTTAAGTTCAGTAGAGCTCGGCAAATCCAGGGCAAATTATATTCAATTCAATTTAATCCAAATGCTTCTAGTGAAGATGTGTGGAGTTTAAAAACAAAACAGAGCACTTCCTGTTTTATCACATGACATCACAAGGTGGAACAGAGTGTTTCCTGTTTTAGCGAAGAACTCAGTCTAAAATAAACAGGGTTTGTGTGTTTTAAATGTGTGCGAATGAAACAAAACACAACTCCGGATTTGTTTGTGATGAGGAAACAACATTATAACTTACAGTAAATAGCGTAATATGGCCCCTTTAAAGAGTATTATTTCATTATGACGTCAAAATTTGCACTTTTTTCCCCTTTTGTATCGAAATAGTTTGAAATTTGAGCACGGCGCGACTGCAAAACAAGTCCAGATCAAACGCTTTCGTCCTCGCACTTGCTGGAACCATGTGAGTTGGAACTGAAAGCCAGTAACGTGCGCGCAGCAGCAGATCAGACTTCCTCTTTGAGTCCACGCCACAGTTTCCGGAGACTTGAGCAACATTCTCCCTTCTCTCCTCTCTGAGCCCAACGCACTCGCGCTGAGGCCAAAGACACGCCAAAGAAACGATACAGACTTACACAAACTTTACTGATCCACAAGGGGAATTATTTAGACACAGTAGCTCACACAGAAAAAATATAAATGGTAATAAATTGTAGATAAGCAGCGATAAAAACAAGAAGAGATTAATGAATACGAAGTACAAGAGAGTTAGGGAGTGAATGTTCAAGGTGTTAGTGGCTCAGTGGTTAAGAGCGTTCGCCTATAAACCCAAAGTTCTCCAGTTCTATACAAGTTCTGGTGCAAGAAAAACACTTGAAATACTCAAAAATCCGTGTATCATTCGTTCATTCGTTTTTCAAAATAAAAGCAAAAATAAGAAAATGAAAAAACAACTATTTTCTACATTATTTGTCTCCAAAAAGACTAAACCAGGACTAAAGTGTGTCGGGATGGGCTCGGAGGTGCACCCACGTAGACTGTCAAGTGATCAGGACTGAGACCAGGGCCAGACCAGGACTGAGATCAGGACCAGACAGGGACCAGCCCGGGATTGAGCCCAGGTCTGAGCCCAGGTCTGAGCCCAGGTCTGAGACCAGGACTGAGACCAGGACTGAGACCAAGACTGAAAGCAGACTGAGATCAGGACAAGACCAGGACTAGACCAGGACCAAAACAGGACTGAACCAGAACTGAACCAGGAGGACTAAACCAGGAATGAACCAGGACTGAATCAGATCTAAACCAGAACTGAACCAGGACTGAAGCAGGTCTAAACCAGGAATGAACCAGGATTAAACTAGGACTGAACCAGGACTGAACCAAGATTAAACCAGGATTAAACCAGGACTAAAACAGAACTGAACCAGGACTGAAGCAGGTCTAAACCAGGAATGAACCAGGATTAAACTAGGACTGAACCAGGACTGAACCAAGATTAAACCAAGATTAAACCAGGACTAAAACAGGACTAAAACAGAACTGAACCAGGACTGAACCAAGACTAAATCAAGACTAAACCAGGACTAAAAAGACTAAACCAGGACCAAACTAGAACTGAACAAGGACTGAACCAGGACTGAACCAGGAGAACTAAACCAGGTTTAAACCAAGACTAAACCAGAACTGAACCAGGACTGAGTGTCAGGACAGGCCCGGAGGTGCGCTTGTGTAGACTGTGGGGTAACCGCAGGCGAAAGGACCGATGGAGAGCTCTCTCTCTCAAGTCCAAGATTAGTCCTGGTTTAGACCTGGTTCAGACCTGGTTCAGTCCTGGTTTAGTCCTGGTTTACATCACATCAATAACATCATGAATCTCATACGCCCACTTAAAAAAAATCCAGACTACATGACTGGAACAGAGCACGTTGATCTTTGTAGATGTAAACAGAATAACAATAATAATAAAGTGTTACTCAATCATGTGTGAATGAAACGAAACGGTTTGTTTTTGATGACGCAACAACATTACAACACAACTAAAACCTCACATGAGTCAATTTTGCAACAATATACAACCTTTTAAAAAAAACAAAACCCGAGAACCAGACCCAGGGCTCGGACTCAAACACCTTCACTTCGGAACAGCGGCTTATCTCGTGGCTCAGTGTGATGTGACGGCCCAAAGCAAATGCGTTATAAAAACATTTTATTAGCCGCAGATACTGGCCTCTTTGTCAGGACGAGCTCTGATGCCCAAGTGAAGAGATATGCCAGTACTTCTGATCGCACAAAGGACAGTATTGAAACGGTGGCAGGAAATACAGTAAGAAAATATGACAGCCTTCGAGTAATAAACACTTTATCACACGGGAAAACCCCAACGTGTGAAAAGACTTGATGAGAAGAATATATTTACTCTTGAGGAATAAAGTTTAACTGATAGACTTCCTGTTTATTTCCTCATCGCATTTCTGGTTTCCATGTAAATTATGATTGCCAAAATGTTATTAAAAGCATGTATCACAAATAGTACTGATGTTAAAGCTACTCAATTATTTTTAAAAAATCATTATCGCAGTTGTTTTGGTCAATAGTGACATCACAATTATTATTTTTTATTTTATTTTTTTCTATTTTTATTAACAGTCAAATAGAGATGGCAGTTTCAAATCACAAATGTACAACAATTTGCTTTTCTTTTTTTTCTTCTTCCCGCCTTCGTCTTTCTTTCACGTCACATATCTCTCTTTGATAGTATTGAATTTTTTTTTATTGAATTATTTTTTTCTCCCTTATTCCGTTAAGGGCACAAAGAAAGAAATTAAAATTAAATTAAATTTAAAAAAAAAAAAAACAAGAAAGAAAAATAAATAAATATTTGAACACTTGAGTAGCAGATAATTTTTTTGTTACAAGATGCATTTATTCAGCATTTCTCTCTCAAAAAAACAACAACACTTTGTTATTGATAATTTATGTAAAACTTTCAAATTCAAAATAAATATAAGGCACAAATCTGAAACTTAGACCAGTTTTGTGATGTATAAAACATAAATATACATGAAATAAGGCTCAGAAAAACATAAATGTATCCAAAATAAACTGTATATCCAGCAAATCTCTAGATTTAAAAAACTTAAATAAATATATCTATTTATATTTAAAAAATCCCAAAATAAACACTGTTAAGCTTTAAATAATTTCAACTCGATTATACGAGTTTGGACACACACATCGAAATCACGATTAAAATTCGATTCATTACACAACAAGGTGACGTTTTGAACAATTTCAAACTAAAAGGGCCGATACAGTTTCTGATCTATGTTATAATGTTGTTTCCTCGTCGTAAACAGACCTGGAGTTGTGTTTTGTTTCATTCAAAACACACTAACTCTGTGTTTTCAGGCTGTGGTTTTGTGTTTCTAAACTCCACACACCTTCACTAGAATCATGTGGATAATTTCAGTCTGTGTATCATTCGTTAATTCATTCATAACCAAAAATAAGAAAATGAAAAACAACTTTTTTCTTTGTTATTTGTCTCCAAAACCAAAATGCCAGAACTCGAAGCCGAGGCTCGGACCTCGCGGAGGCTCGGAGTCAAAGCTCGGAGTCCGGTCTGGTCCTGCTCTGGTCCCCCTCTGGTCCCCCTCTGGTCCCGGTCTGGTCCCGGTCTGGTCCCGCTCTGGTCCCGCTCTGGTCCCCCTCTGGTCCCCCTCTGGTCCCCCTCTGGTCCCGGTCTGGTCCCGCTCTGGTCCCGGTCCTGAATCAGTCCTGGTTCAGTCTGGCATCGCAGTCACGGAAGTCACGTAAACGAGAAACGGTCGTTATCCGTTTTTTTCCATTTTTCATTTAAACACAAAATCGAAAACTGAAAAAACGAATCATTATCCGTTTTTTCATTTTGGTTTTAGAGACAAATAATGAAGAAAACTGTTGTTTTTTCATTTTCTTATTTTTTGTTTTATATTGAAAAACGAATGAATGAATGATACACGGATTGAAATCCTGTTTGATTCCTAGTTTCTTATGTATTAAAGTTCAAACATTAAACCCGTAAATAGTCTTATTACATCCAATTAAAGGCCTCAAAAGATCTCAAGGAAACAATACCAAATTTTCGAGACCAGCGTCTGTAGAAAAGTAGAAATGATCCTTACCGATGGACTGACGAAGCTCCGCACACTGACTGATGTGGGGGAACTGTAGCATCTGCTTCCACTTCTTACTCTTTCCTTTTCTGTTCCCTCCACCTCCTGGAAAAAAACAACAACATTCACAGGTCAGAGGGTCAAACCACCATCACGATACTGTTATTATTTTACTATCAAATATTTTTACAGAGACCAGGTTGGCTTTGCAAAAGAGAAATGGTTTGCAGTTCCCCTACCTGGATGATTAAAGATAAAAAAATAAATAAAGACACAAATCAAACAGATCATTAGATTGGAACTACACCAGAAGTAGAAGAAGTGCTCAATTTTCTGACTTAAAGGTGCATTTTGTGATCTGTGAAAAGCTGAAATATTTCACAGCATAATATTAAACCTTTCTATCTTCATGGAGACCAAACCAGATCAAGTTACAGGTCAGATCTGTGGAGAGGCGACCCCGCTTACAGTCAGAATCCCTGTTTTTCTAAGTATTTTTGAGCCATAAAACCACAATTGAATAAATGTAGGGTAGAGCTGTTTAATGTCATACTGTCATGAAGTTACATAGTGCAGCTTTAAGTAAAAGTACAAATACAGGAGCAAAAAATAAAGTAAAAGTATCACATGAAAAAATCGACTTAAGTAAAAGTATTTAAGTACCTGTTTAAAAATGTACTTAAAGAGTAAAAAGTAAAAGTGTATCAATAAAGCTTCAAATGAACTGATTTTGAAACAGATTTTTTGTTTGTTGTTTTTATTTGTATATTTTTGTTTACTCAAACTACATATGTGTTAAAAAAAAAAAAAAAAAAGGCTTTTCTGCAGGTGTCAGACAGTAATAAAAATACTTTCAGTCCTGGACAAAAACATAGTGAAGTAGAAAGTACAGATACCTGCTCTCAAATGAAGTGAAGTAAAAGTAAAAAGTACGTTAAATGTGCCTAAGTAAAGTACAGAAACCTGCTCTCAAATTAAATGAGGTAAAAGTAAAAAATGTACTTTAAATGTACCTGCTCTCAAATGAAATGAAGTAAAAGTAAAAAGTACTTTAAATGTACTTAAGTAAAGTACAGATACGTGCTCTCAAATTAAATGAGGTAAAAGTATAAAATACTTTAAGTGTACCTAAGTAAAGTACAGATACCTGCTGTCAAATGAAGTGAAGTAAAAGTAAAAAGTACTTTACATGTACCTAACTAAAGTACAGACACCTGTTCTCAAATGAAGTGAAGTAAAAGTAAAAAGTACTTTAAATGTACTTAAGTAAAGGACAGATACCTGGTCTCAAATTAAATGAGGTAAAAGTAAAAAGTACTTTAAATGTACCTGAGTAACGTACAATATTTCTGAACAATAAAATCACTTCTAAAGAAACAAAAGCGGAATATTATGGAACATATTGTACCAAGAAAATCAAAAACATCTCCCTGAAGACAAAAATGTGGTGTACACTCCACCAGAAAAGTTCCACAATGCACCTTTATAAACCTTTATAAATGCACCTTGATAAATCATAATGTATTTCAATAACATGTTATTTCTAATGCAGGACAATCCCATTTTCTATTGTAAAAAAATCCCTGCTGCAACAAACAAGTACAAGAATAAAACGCTTTAGTAGTTGGTTAAAAGCTATAATTAGAGAAGTTATTCAACCCTCTACAGATTAAGTCACATTTATTTGACATTAACATTTATATTATCTGTTTATCCAATGTACAGCACTAGTCAAAAGTTTGGACACACCTTCTCATTCAGTGTTTCTCCGTATTTATTTTTTACGACTTTCTACATTTTATATACATACAAAACATCGAATATATGAAGTAAAATCTATAGAGTTACTGTATGTAGCAAAGAAAAACAAAGTGATATAACTCAAAACTTTCTTATTATATACTGAATATTTCAAATCGTCTTTGCTTTGTTGAAAAATATTTAGAAGAGAGACTTTTTTCTTTACTGCATAATTCCATATGTCTTACTTCATTTATTTGATGTCTTCTGTATGTAGAAATATTTTTATGTTTTAAACTTTTTGAGCAAATCGTACACGCTTATATTTCATTGCGCCTGGACGACTGTAATGTACTTTATTCCGGACTTTTGCGCCGCATACGAACTGATCCCAGGACTGAACCAGGACTAAACCAGGACTAAACTAGGTCTAAACCAGGACTAAACCAGGTCTAAACCAGGTCTAAACCAGGTCTAAACCAGGTCTAAACCAGGACTAAACCAGGTCTAAACCAGGACTAAACTAGGTCTAAACCAGGACTAAACTAGGTCTAAACCAGGACTAAACCAGGTCTAAACCAGGACTAAACCAGGTCTAAACCAGGTCTAAACCAGGACTAAACTAGGTCTAAACCAGGACTAAACCAGGTCTAAACAGGACTAAACCAGGTCTAAACCAGGACTAAACCAGGTCTAAACCAGGTCTAAACCAGGACTAAACCAGGTCTAAACCAGGACTAAACCAGGTCTAAACCAGGTCTAAACCAGGTCTAAACCAGGACTAAACCAGGTCTAAACCAGGACTAAACCAGGTCTAAACCAGGTCTAAACCAGGACTAAACCAGGTCTAAACCAGGACTAAACCAGGTCTAAACCAGGTCTAAACCAGGACTAAACCAGGTCTAAACCAGGACTAAACCAGGTCTAAACCAGGACTAAACCAGGTCTAAACCAGGACTAAACCAGGTCTAAACCAGGTCTAAACCAGGTCTAACCAGGACTAACAGGTCCAGGACTAAACCAGGTCTAAACCAGGTCTAAACCAGGTCTAAACCAGGTCTAAACCAGGACTAAACCAGGTCTAAACCAGGACTAAACCAGGTCTAAACCAGGTCTAAACCAGGACTAAACCAGGTCTAATCCAGGACTAAACAGGTCTAAACCAGGACTAAACCAGGTCTAAACCAGGTCTAAACCAGGTCTAAACCAGGTCTAAACCAGGACTAAACCAGGTCTAAACCAGGTCTAAACCAGGTCTAAACCAGGTCTAAATCCAGGACTAAACCAGGACTAAACCAGGTCTAAACCAGGTCTAAACCAGGACTAAACCAGGTCTAAACCAGGTCTAAACCAGGACTAAACCAGGTCTAAACCAGGACTAAACCAGGTCTAAACCAGGACTAAACCAGGTCTAAACCAGGTCTAAACCAGGACTAAACCAGGTCTAAACCAGGACTAAACCAGGTCTAAACCAGGACTAAACTAGGTCTAAACCAGGTCTAAACCAGGTCTAAACCAGGACTAAACCAGGACTAAACCAGGTCTAAACCAGGACTAAACCAGGTCTAAACCAGGACTAAACCAGGACTAAACCAGGTCTAAACCAGGTCTAAACCAGGACTAAACCAGGTCTAAACCAGGTCTAAACCAGGATTAAACTAGGTCTAATCCAGGACTAAACCAGGTCTAAACTAAACCAGGTCTAAACCAGGACTAAACCAGGTCTAAACCAGGATTAAACTAGGTCTAATCCAGGACTAAACTAGGTCTAAACCAGGACTAAACTAGGTCTAAACCAGGTCTAAACCAGGTCTAAACCAGGTCTAAACCAGGTCTAAACCAGGAACTAAACCAGGTCTAAACCAGGTCTAAACCAGGACTAAACCAGGACTAAACCAGGTCTAAACCAGGACTAAACCAGGACTAAACCAGGTCTAATCCAGGACTAAACTAGGTCTAAACCAGGACTAAACCAGGTCTAAACCAGGACTAAACCAGGACTAAACCAGGTCTAAACCAGGTCTAAACCAGGATTAAACTAGGTCTAATCCAGGACTAATCCAGGACTAAACCAGGTCTAAACCAGGTCTAAACCAGGTCTAAACCAGGACTAAACCAGGTCTAAACCAGGATTAAACTAGGTCTAATCCAGGACTAAACTAGGTCTAAACCAGGTCTAAACCAGGTCTAAACCAGGTCTAAACCAGGTCTAAACCAGGACTAAACCAGGTCTAAACCAGGACTAAACCAGGACTAAACCAGGACTAAACCAGGACTAAACCAGGTCTAAACCAGGACTAAACCAGGTCTAAACCAGGTCTAAACCAGGTCTAAACCAGGACTAAACCAGGTCTAATCCAGGACAAAACCAGGTCTAAACCAGGTCTAAACCAGGATTAAACTAGGTCTAATCCAGGACTAAACTAGGTCTAAACCAGGTCTAAACCAGGTCTAAACCAGGATTAAACTAGGTCTAAACCAGGTCTAAACCAGGATTAAACTAGGTCTAATCCAGGACTTAACTAGGTCTAAACCAGGTCTAAACCAGGTCTAAACCAGGTCTAAACCAGGACTAAACCAGGTCTAAACCAGGACTAAACCAGGTCTAAACCAGGACTAAACCAGGTCTAAACCAGGTCTAAACCAGGACTAAACTAGGACTAAACCAGGTCTAAACCAGGTCTAAACCAGGACTAAACCAGGTCTAAACCAGGACTAAACCAGGTCTAAACCAGGACTAAACCAGGTCTAAACCAGGTCTAAACCAGGACTAAACCAGGTCTAAACCAGGATTAAACTAGGTATAATCCAGGACTAAACTAGGTCTAAACTAGGTCTAAACCAGGTCTAAACCAGGTCTAAACCAGGTCTAAACCAGGTAAACCAGGTCTAAACCAGGACTAAACCAGGTCTAAACCAGGATTAAACTAGGTCTAATCCAGGACTAAACTAGGTCTAAACTAGGTCTAAACCAGGTCTAAACCAGGTCTAAACCAGGACTAAACCAGGACTAAACCAGGTCTAAAGCAGGTCTAAACCAGGCGTTCTTTTCACTCAGAATACGAAAAAGACATTTTTCTTCTTCCGTGCTTCTATTTGTGCATCCCATAATGCAGCAGGAATTTACCATTATCGGGGATAAATACGCGAGGTTACGCACTGTGTTTGACGCTATCCTGTTTCTTGCCTCCGACCAAAATATTTCCCAGCATGCAACGCGGGCTTTTAATAACAATGACGTCAGCTGAAACTCGCCATATATATGTACAATTTTAAAATTTTGTTCAAATTTTAGTTGATGTGGCTTTTATTCAGGTGCGCTCAATAGTCTGGATTTTTTGTGCCTTTGTGTCTTTACATTGTAC